TCCTCCTCCCTCGTTATAATTAAGATTAGATTACTGCTTGTTATTTTAGGTGTTTGCTTTTTTTTTTGCTTTTTTAAAAAAAAAATAGTTTAAATGTACTTTTGTAAATGACTTTATGTGTATTTAAGTGGGGTATATTAAGTCATTTTCCCTGGGGGGGGGCTCTTCTGCATCTCAGTATCCAATTGTAGTCAATTGCAGTGAACTCGATTTAGTCCTTGGCAGTTTAAATTGGGTAGCAGCTAGTTCTGTGATTACCAAGGCTATCAAGTTAATTGTGACTTCTTTGCAGACACCTAGCGTGCAACTCAATATTTCTTCAAATCTTGCGATCAGGCGTGACTTATTGATCCTCAAAAAGACAAATTTAAGAAGCATGTTTGCCGATTGTAAGGACTAGGTCAAATTAAACACTTAGGTTCACTGCCGTTGTTACTAAACCAGGGAATTCAGTTTCTTCCACCAGTACCTGGGGTGGAATCTTCTCTTTACTGTGTATGTTAAAATCGTTAATAGTTAACATGATTATTGTTATAGTTGCTATGGTGAGAAATTGTTTTCAGCTTCTGAAGATTTCTAAGATGCGTTTACAAGTTTTATCTGAGCCTTTTCCCTATTTTTCAGTCAAGCCGTTAAATAAAATGGACTTCAGACTCGCTTACAAGAAAGTAAACCCCTTAATGTCTCATTGTGTTCTTGGTACACAGGTCAGCCTCTTAATGTTGTTAATTTCCTATACCCAGTAAATTGTATGTATGTTTTGTTTTTGGATTTTTTTTCCATTTAAAATAAAACTTTTTACTCTATAGAAGTTACTTTTATTTGAGGAAATATGCTTTATTTAAATCAGTTAATGATCCATTTTTTCTACAGTGTTTGAATATTTCACTTGATTCCAAATTGGATGATGGATGCAGGCCATGTGCGTCCTTCTGTTGTACTTGATACAGCTGCGTACTGAGCTCTTTGCTGTTTCCATCTAGGTCTTCCATGTTTCAAGTGGTCTTGCCCATTACTTGTCATGTATATTACGTGCAGCTTAACTAGTTTTCACATACACTTTAATGGAATTTCTTTTTTCCTTTCTACAAAGAAAATAGTGCCCTTTAAGTACCACGAAAAACCCGGCTCCCAGGTTCTCATGTTTAATGTTAAACCTAACCTTCTGTGGCAAACTAAATATATAAGTGTCTTTTCCCAAGTGGAGCCTAAGCCTCCTGTTTCAGTACTGTTTAGTCAACAAAAAGCTGGATTCATACTGTTAGCTGTGTCTTCTGCACCGTGGAAATCTCCAAGTGTGTACTCCAGAGAGCTGTAGAAACTGATCTCCGAAAGTCCATAGGAAATGCAACTCAGGTTTGTAGAAAGACTTCATACAATATATCGAAAACACGCTTTCTTTAGAAGAATGGAAGAAGTTTTAATTAAAAGTAGCAGTTTTAACAGGAAACCCTATCTGGGAGGTCTGCATTTAACTAGCAGGAAATTGCATGCTTCTGAAAACTACCATTATCCATACCTCTCAGTCTTCTTTGCATAGTAATCATACACATCTTGGGGGGGAAAAGTATAAAATGGGGAAACTCTCAGATTTCTACTTTATTAACTTTCACTTTGTGAATGCAGTGGGCCAGCTTTCCCGTAATTAAGAGCTGAGTTATAAAGATAAGATTTGATGTAACTATTGACTCATTAAAACAGTTGACTTATGTTTTAACTATTCAGTGTTTAAAGCTGATGCTGGTAATAGGCTATCTGTGATGTTTTATAACCCACTATTCCCGCCAGCCCTCAGTAACGAAGGTCTTACCGGAGTCTGGCTTAGTGTTCCTTAGTGCTCCTCAAGATATTTATGCGACCAAAAGCAAGGAGAGCAGCGTTAATATTCAAGGTTTGTGACTTTAGGTATGTCTATCTTATGCTTCATAATCATCTACCCCCCCCTCCCTTCACTCAAACCAAAATTATACTCATTGTTTGTGATCATGTTTTACTAGGTGTTGCATTCCATAATTAAGTTTGAGAGCCACGAGAAATCTAAAGTTATTTTGTTTTTAAAAAAAACTAGGTGATTCCTAAAAAGGTTTAAGTTATAGTGTTTTGAAATTTTGATTGGGAAGATCTTGGAAAAACACGATGTCCTAAAAGTCAAAGCTGGGGATAGCAGATAGGGGAATAGTCTTGCCACACTGTATTTTAAATTCCTAATTGGCATTTCTTTATCAATTGAGGCTTTGTCTTTTTGACATCTCTAATATAATTGCCCGATACCTTGTTTTAATATTTGCCTGATTGGTGAAAGCACTAAACTTTTTAGCTGTGTGCACAATTAATAGTGTTCTGCTGAATGCTTACTCATAAGGACCCTTTTAGAAAGGCTCTAGGGTTGTGATTATTCAGTTATCAAGCAAGAAGTTAATGAAATCTATGGGCTTGTTCTGGTAATTTTGGTACCTGGGATCACAGGCATAAGTGTGAGAACCATAAGAAAGTACTCAGAAATTCCTTCCAGGGATTTGTGATGGAAGTTTTTTTTTATGATTTGATCAAATCAAAAACACATCTTCCCTAACTGAGAAGACTTCAGGGTGTATTGGTGTTTGACTTAGTGTGTTCTGAATTACAGCTGCCCAGTCATTAAAGGTATCTTTTTTTTTTTCTTTTCCTTCCCCTCATTCCAGAACGCAGCCTGCGTAATGCTGGAATTTGAAACCCTTTCCTAAATTACCTTTCCCAAAGTACCGTCGACTGAACAGGATCCGCAAAGAGCCTGGTCCTGATCTTGGAAGGAGAAGGGAAGCACATTGTATCAGGTGAGCAAGGGCTTCTTGTTTTAGTTTTCAGAAGGGAAATCAATACATTCGGAAGGGTATCCCGGATACTAGTACCTGCTTTGCTGTGACCGCTACACATTACACACTTTTGAGCGTTGGGCCCATCTAGCCCATTCGGAGGTTGGTAGCTAATTGATCAAGGATCTCATCCAGCTGTCTTGAAGGAAGGCAACGTATCGGCCTGGCTGGGTAGTATGTTACCTACTCCCACAACCCTTTGGGTAAAGAGATTGGGCATCGCTGCAGTTAAGCTACTGGTACGTTGGGTCGCCAACTATGTTGGAAGATATTTGAATGCTATGGATGTCACAGCTGTCAGGCTGTGTGTCTTGCTACCACTTTATTCAGCCAAATTTTGCCCCCCAAAAAAGAGCTGTGGACGGAAGTGTTCTCGTGAGATGTTAAGGCTCTGAACCTGCCGTCCCGGGCGATTTCTGCAGGCAGTAGAGTGTTCCTCACCCTGACTCCTCTGGGGCTTCCTGTGTGGCGGTCTGGCACTCTTTTAGAAGGGAAGCGATTTCGGATTCTGCCGCCGCCAACCCCTCTCAAAACCATCCTTTGGGAATCCCTTCCCATGGTAGGCTTTCAAGGAGGTGTGGCTGCTACTCTCGTTATTCCCGAAATCCATTTGTGCCCACGTGAAGCCGGGATATTCGGATATGGAAATTAGCCTTTTTTCCCCAGAACCGACCCCAACAGAAGACGGGCAATTTGCTTCCCCACCCCCTCCTCCTTCTTTTGTTCGTCCTCGGCTCCTCCTCTCATGTCCATATGCGCAGTGGGGCCATCTGTCTCCCCACGCAGGGTCCCAGTGTTCCCGCAGGGTTTCAGCGTATCTGCAAATGAGAAGCTGCTTGTGGCCTGAGGGTTTTGTCTTCAGATGGGCTGGAAAACTGGCTCCTGACCCAGGGCTTCTGCGTTTTCTTTTAGACCTTTAGATCAGATCGCTTTATTGGCCAGATGCAATTTCTTGCATGGGGAATTTGTTTTTTCGCAGACCCCAACCTGCTCTCCATGAGACACGCAGACGGGGAGAGAGAAGCTTGGGGTCAGAGCGCAGGGCCAGCCGTTTATACGGCGCCCTGGAGAAGCTGGGGTGAAGGGCCTTGCTCGGGGGCCCAACGGAGTAGGATTCAAACCGGCAACCTTCCAGCCACAGGCGCAGATCCTTAGCCACAGTGCCACCGCTCCGCACCATAACCCGTCCCCTTCCCCTCCCCCACGCTCAGACCTGTTTACTCATTGGGGTCGTCGCTCTGAAAACATCCGCTGTGTGGTATTTCAGAACCCAGGCATACTCGTCCAGAGGGACTTGAATTAAGGTACCTGGGATCTCGGAGGACATTTCTGCCAGCGTCCCCTGATGTATGCAGGTGCTAAATTTCCCCCCCTGTATGTGATGGGGGGGGTATGTATGTGTGCTCGCAGAGGAAATGCATACCACTGATGGGTGAAAGATGGCACCGATTACAAAATGGTGCAGATCCCCGAGACAGAGCTCTGAATCTAAGGGGAACTTTTGAGTAGGAACTCGATGCAGGCTAAAGCCTTACCCTCTGAGCTGCGCTAATCCAGACCCTGTGATGTCCTTGACGTCATTTTAATGCACACAACAGAGCACAAGGTAACCACGGCCTCTGGTATTCCAGCCCTCCATCATCTCATTAGTTGACTGGAATTGGCGTGCACGTATTTCATTCCTGCACAAATCAGCCGGTTCGTCCTGCGCCTATTCTTAGTGCTCCCAGTGGGCTCGTGCTTGGGGGTCTTTTGGGTTGTGCGGGGTGGTGATGAGCTTATTTGAAGGGCTTTATTAGCCACAGCACATAACAGCTGACAGAATTACTCCCGGGGGCCAGACACGTGTGGGACCAGCTGTTGCAACCAACCCTCTGAACACACCAGGCGGCCAAATCCCGGTTTGTGCTGGTTGAACAGAAAGAGGGTGATGTGTTAAAACAGACGAGCCTGCATTTAGAGGAGTCCACAGACGTTTTTTGGAAGTTTCCTTTCCTTAAAACAAATGCTGCGAGTAGTTCCTGTGGGTAGGAGAACACTCCTAAGTGAGCAGTTTCATTTTTAACGCTGTTGGATTGCGCACAAAGCTGAAAGAGATGTCTGTGCACGTTTGTGTGAAGCAGCTGCTGAGCATCCATTCCAGTCCGCTAAAGCATTGGCGAATTAGCGACGTGCTCGCATTCCTCGAGTTGCTATTAAAAGAGGCAAAAAGAACCGCACGTTTACTGTCAGGGCCTGCGAGAGACTGCGAACAGGCAGGGCAGCAGAAGGCGCGTTTCGGCGCCGACGGGGTGCCGGGAGAGCTGGAAATGGCGGAGGGGGAAGTGGGCGTGACGTCACGGGCGAGAGGACCCGGATATTTTCCTGCGCGCGGCTCGTGTGGCACGGGACTGCCGGAAGTGGGGGGTGTCGGGCTTGGCAGGAAGTCGAGATCGGGGGGGAAGCGAGGAGGCACTCGGGCTTACTGGCCCACTACCTACCCTGATGCGGTGAAGTCTTTTATTTAAACACCAGATGGCGGTGACTCTTGCGCGCTTTGTCAGGCCGAGGCGGACGAAGTCCGGAAGCGATGGTCACGTGTCTTTCCGCAATCGCCGCGCTGCGTAGCGGAAGAGCCGTGCGTGGAGACCGTGGTTCCTATGGCAACGCCGCTATGGCGGACACGGCGGCCTGTTCTGCAGCTCTGGCGACGCGCCCTTGTGTCTGGCCGTGGGCTCATGAACAGCCATTCATCGGCCGCGGGTTAGCCTCAGGGTTATGGCTCCGTATTTTTGGGAGAAATGTTTTTTTTTTTTTGAGAGCGTGTTGCATAGTAGTCCCGAAGCGCTTATCGCGTTGAACATGGACACCGACTGAATGGTGTCTTTCCGGTAGAGAGAGATTTGGTCACATCACTTTTTATTGGGATAGAAGAGTGCTTTTCGGCACTTATAAACGGCTTTTAAAAACATTGCGCGTCGGCAGATATTCGCTTTTTGATTTTGTTCCATCCCTCAGGAAGGTTTTATGTTCCTTTGCTACTTTAAACGTTAAGCCTTTTTATTAAGGTTAATAAATCGGAACAGCATGACCACCTCTTAAAACGCGTTTTTGATAAACGTGGAGGGAACATTTAAAACCAAAAACGTGCGAGATTTAAAAAAAAAATCAATGCACACACGAGTTTTGTCACCTTCACCCATCATTTGAAGTTACAGCACCATTCAGCGGAAATGTGCAATAATTCATTTTCCAATTTCATAAGATGACACCTTACGTATTCACTTTTGGAACACACGGGGGCAGCAGTTACTTTAAAGTGGGTTTGAAACGAGTCGTGTCAGCTTGAGCAATTACTGCATTCAATAAAAGCAATCAGCTTAATCTCCTTCTTACATTCGAGAAGCTGTTTCTTCAGTTAATACGTACTGGGGGGAAGCCTCTTATCATTGTTGGGTTTAAGGTGTGATACTCTTTCTAACACTGTTTTCTCTTTACACTCAGAGGCTATCCTGGAGCTCAGCTGGCTGGCGTGAAGTTGGCGTGTGCTCTCCGTGTGCTGCCCGGAGCTGCCCCGCGTGCCCCGCCAGCTGCCCAGAGCAGCTCTCATGCGATGACTGTTTTACAGGTCACGCAGACTTGGCTACGAATCCACGGACTGGAATATCACTGATGGGCGCTCTTTTTAAAAAAAAAAACGAAAAGCGGTGGAAAAAAATATTGTGATTTAAAAAAATATATATTTAATAAAAGTATTTGAGTATCGGTGCCGTCCTCTTTCTCTTACCAAGGTTCGGAGTTGTGTGTTCCGAGCTGCTGTTGTATGTTTTTCTTCCAGGTACAGTTACCGTCTACAGAGCAGTACTCGGGTGTAGCTTAAGGGTGGTTGTACTGTGCAGGGGAGAAGTGAATACTTGGAACTATGCACTTAGATTTGAATGTACTTTTCGTGACTGCTCCTGTTCAGACCTTTCAGATTGGGTGCTCATTCACGAAGGCTCCAGCACTACGAGTACCTGCCTTCCTGCCTTCAATAAATGCATGTCTAGTTTCTGGAATTGATGGAGTTTGCATCCCCGTTGCTTCCAGATTCTTTTTAATCCTTTGGGAATAGTGTCTATAAACACTACTGTCGGCTGTGTATTCCGGACACTCTAGTTGCTATGAAACGAGCTCTGTGCGATTGTGATGTTGTGATTGTTTCCCCACTGTGGCCGAAAAAGAGTGGTGAATGTGGCTCCGTACTTGAAACCAGAAGACCGGGTTCGTATTGCAGGTGGGACACGGGTGTCATACCCCTGAGCAAGAGGGTTTGTTCAGATTGCCCCAGTTACGTGCCCAGTTGTTTAAACTGGTGCCAATGCATGTTACCTCAGATAAATTGTGCCGTAATTGATCAATCTTAAGAGCAGTATAGCCCAGCTTCCTCCCGTGTTAAGTGGGAGCACCTGCACATATTAGGCAAGCTCCAAAGCTCCTCTATTTGGTTGTCAGCAGTCGTTTTTACTATACTGATATTGATTCCAAATCAGCTGGGTCTGTTGGAGCGGTGTGGCGTAAGGCACCTTATTTAACAGTAGCAGCAGTGTCCCAACCTGGGTCTTGAGTCCCTTCCACTCTGGGGCTGAGGGCCTTTAGGTGCCCCGTTTTATCCTTCTGGAAAAGCACTAATGCTCGAGAGTCCGGTACATTGATAGTCCGACCAAAATAAGGAGGGGGTGGGGGATTTCGGTGTTTCTGTTGGCCTTTCTCATTGGACACTCAGTAGCAGGTCTAGATGCGGGGGGGCCTAGAAACTTTGTGGGTCCTAATGCCCCAGGGTAGTGAAGGGGACGCTACAGTGTAAAAAAAACATAAAACCAAGGTCCTGACTCTGGTTATTAGGAATCCCAGGACATTTATCAGAAAGAGTAGGGCTGTTGACCCCAGTGTCCTGGCCAAATTCCCCCCTGGTCTTTACAAATCATAGCCACCTAATAATCCCCAATTATGACCTGGCTTCATCACACTCCCACCTGATTGCTGATCCTGCTGGTACACTCTGGCTGCCGTTGCATCATCCAGGTGGCGGTGCAGGCCCTTGGAGTGGAGTGTCCATAAAAGTGCTATATAAATGTGTAAGAAATCATCATACCAAGGCCTTATGCGACAACCGAGGATCAGCACTCCCCAGACATTGGAAGTGAGGACGAAGACCAACAGTGAAGAAGGTTCTCGCTCCTGTTGAGGCCTGCCCGGATATCGTCATCACAATGTCTAGTTCCAGAATTGCGGGTAACCAAATTGCAGAGCTAAAAATAGCTTATTTTTCAGACTGCATACTGTATTGCAGAAGAAACTAGAAGCTCGACTGGAAAAAATGAAAGCTTACGTGCTTGCCTGTTAAGACAATTTGTATTTTATAACTTAGCACATGATCAGCAGAAACAAATTACTGCGCTCGTGTTTTAGGAGACATACTCTCGTGTTACATTGTCCATTGACACGGGTTTCCTACAGCTGTTGGCTTTGCATAAGAGAGACAGTGAAAGTAAGATGCGTTAAAACAGCCTATTCCACGTTACCAATCAACAATGGTGATAACGTAGTCGCACAATCAATAAAACAAAATTACGAGCGTGTTCATTTCTCAATAGCAGATCATTCGTGATATACTGCAGTAGGCTGCTCATGTCCTATGAAGACTGTTCATAGCCAGCTGTAGAAAGATACACAGAAAGGCGATTGCATGTTTTCTCACATACCATGTCTATATATTAAAATACATGACAGTTTTGTTTGACCTCTTCTGTGTTACGCTCAGTTATAACCCCCCCACATGTTGCTCGGCTGCTCAGACTGCACAGTGTTAAGTGTCGGCTCGCACTGGAAGGGGCGGCGCTCTTCAGCGCTTCGACAGCAGCCTCAGTCTTCACCGTGTCACGTTTTTTGTCGAACGATACAGGTTTTGGGGGTGACCGTTTCATGACAGCGTGTTATGGATCACGGGGGGTCTTTCGGGGGGAGGAGGGGGGCTGCGACGCTCTCGCGCACTCGGGGGGGTCCGCACGCGCACAGAGAGTGGAAGAGGGAAAGAAAGGGGGGGTTGGAGCAAGGAAACCTGGGAAAAAAATAGCAAGGAGAGGGAGAGAGAGAGAGAGAGGGAGGGGGGAGGTGTGTCCTTCCCTCTCATTCACCGGTCTGCTGTGCAGCGGCGGAAGAGGGCTGGCGAACTCGGGAGCTGGTCCGTCCTGTACCCCTGAGCGGCGCTGCGCCAGACCCCCGCCCGGCTCTCGCCGTGAGCAGCAGCAGCAGCAGGGTGTGAGCGGACAGCCGGACAGCACCCATGCGCTAGGACCGGAACCATGGAAGATGCAGGGTGAGTTTTGCCTCGCCGCTGTGTCCCTGCGTGCGCCGGGACTGAGACCCCTCTGCCCCTGCCTTCAGCCCCCTCGAATCTGTGCGCTGCCATCGCGTTTGTTTGTTTGTTTTTTTTTTGGGGGGGGGGGGAACAATTCCGCCCGCCTCCCCCCCCCCGCCAAGCCCGGCCGGAAAAGCAAGCAACAACAACAACAAGGGGGGGAGGAACCGGAACCCCCAAACGTTCCCCCCGAAAACGGAAGAAGGGGTAACCGGGAACCCAACCCAAGGAAAAACGGCCCAAGAACAACCAAAACCCCCGGCCGAAAACGAAAACCGGCCAACCCAAACGCCTGCAAGCCAAAACCCCCGCCCGAACCGGGAGGGGTGAACCTTATTTTCGACCCTGTGCAAATCCGAAAGAAAGATTTGGATTGTTTACAGGCGGCACGGCAGGATGTCGTGCTCAAGTTTAGTGGCGAGCCCGACCACACTAGAACGGGTGATTTTTCTTTTTCGCCAGGTGTGCCTGTACATTACCTGTGTTTTGACGCGCAGAATTCTTGGTTAGGAAACGTTAAAAAGGAGTAGATAAGGCACGGTTATTAAAAACGTCAAATTGACTATTTTTTATCACGAGTTACATCGCTTATACATTTTCAATATGGAGATCACGTGAAAAACACGAGCTTCGCTTTTGCCGTTTTAAGAAGGATGAATATTCACGGTATGAGCGCTTGTAACGCCGGTGTTCCTGATGCTTCTCCAGTGTGACATTTCGACAAGGGCTCATGCCAGACCTGAGATCTGTGACCTTTCCGTCTGCAGTACTGGATGAAATTATACAAGGTTTACATTTTTAAAGTTTACTGGGAAACCCTTGCAATTCAGACTTTATTTCTCTTTAAAGCTGGCTGAAAAAACCTATATCCATTATTCCCACATCGCAGAAATGATTGTATACTTTTCCATTGAGAAGAAAATCTTGCCTGTTGTAGTCAAGTGTTCTCTTTCCCCACTTCATGACGCAAAGGACTCTGATAGTAGTTCTTCATTTGAAAGCATTTCGGGTATCACATCTGCCCTCTTGCAACAGTACCCATTAAAGCGAATTCACTGGTACCTTTAATTGTGTATGGGACATAAGGAGTCTTGTGATGGACTGGCTTCTGTCCTGCCTTGGACCCGTTGCATGCTGGGATAGGTTCCAGCTTCCCTGCGATCCTGGATTGAATGAGTCTGTTAGAACATGGATGGACGGACATAGGGAGTTTTGTTCTTAACTGAGTAGTTTTTGAGAAAGCTTTGAAACTGAGGTTAGTTGGGTCTGGACTTAGCCTGGCGGCGCTCAGGCTCAGTGCGGTGTGTTCAAAGCTGCGATTTTATTTATTCCATGGAGAAATGGAGTCAGGTTTCAACAGATGTTGCTGACAAAGTGTGGCGCAGGTGTCAAGGAAGTGATGCCCCTGTTGCACAAGTATCTCTGTCTGGAAACTGAGCCTCACTCGATCTCTCTTTTTTAAAAATTTTAATGTGCAATTGCCGATCGTCCAGTTGAGTGTTAAGGGTAGGAATTGAGGTTAAGATTCTTGTGCTCAGCTGGTCCGTTCATTCAGTGAGTGAGTCGGTGCTCTTCTGTACCCAAGAGCACTAATGAAATAGGAAAACGAGTCTCTTTTTTCCCTTCCTCTTCAGTTGCAGCTGTCTTTGCAAAGATACTCCAACTAAGGCAGTAAACATAGGATCAGCCTTTTGTTATTTCATGTACAAATTCCTAAAACCTTAAAGTGGCTTAATTTCCCTTGCATTGAAGTTTGTTAGGCCCTGCTGTGGTCAGTTTGTGAACTCCTGCTGTCTTTGACAATCAGCACTCATTTCAGTCTTGAAAGTTACAATTGAAAGTAGATGAGATACTTTTGTAATAGCTGTGTTGGTGTTAGTGATTGGTATAAAAATAATAGGATTGTTAGCCATTGAGAAGCTTTTCAGAATTTCTGAAGGGGATACTTAAACCTGGTGTTTTACAGGTGGCAGAGTAGATTGAGTAAGTAAGCTATTGACCTGAATTTACTGTTCATGTCAGGGCCAGGCTGGGTCAAAAGTGAATTCTGCAGTCCACTGTGGGAGTCTTGTATGAGACCATATGACACCATTACTGTCATATCCTTTGGGGTCAGGGCTTGGAACGTAATAAGTACAGTATTGAGTGCGTAGTGGCTCTCCCCTTTGCAATATAGCACTATACAGTCACTATTGGGCTGGGCGGTAAGCATGGGATGGGTCTTGGAACTGTGGATGAACCCAGATGTTTAGCCAGAAGGAATGTCCACCTCTTACCCTTTCTGAGTAGACAATTATGTATGCTTCACTGGGAAACCGGACTCGTGCCAAACAGAAAAAGAAGAAAAAAATTAACTCATTGCAAAACAGGCTGCTCTAAAAGTGCTCTTCACTGATCTGTAATTTTGTTTACTGGTAGTTTAATGTCCAGCAGTAAGGAAATCAGTTGTTAGCGATCGGCAGCGAATAACAAAATAAATAATACTGTGATTTAAGGTGGTAATTGTTCAGGAATCTTCATTTGGAAAGAGAAAGAGATTTCTCTTTTGAGTTCTCTAATCTGCGGCTCTGTTTTAAGTCATTCAGCAGTGATGTGAAAATGAGCAGGATGCAGCACGTGTTTTTCCAGGAGATGGGGGATCTTTTACATCGATCTGCTGGTTATGAGGAAAAAGAGGGCTGTGTTAGGGTCTTAAAGACCTCTGGGGCAATCCTCCTACAAGTAAAATGAGTGACAGCACTTCTGAGATGTCAGACTTTGTCTACAGCAAGACAGGTTGTGTATGTGCTTCAGTCTCAGGGATGAGAATGAAGTTGGATGAATACGTAAATAACTTTTTCCTGGTTAAAAAAATCAAGTAAAGCATGGAGGATGAGGCGGCTTTTTTTGACAGCTTTCTTCTTTTTTTTTTTGTTTTGCACTGTAAGTCCTACAGCTGCAGAAGATTTGATCTTGCAGGCAGTCCGGTCGGGTTGTTGCTAACGGGTGACATAGTTTGAATCACAACCTTTTCTTCCTCCGATAAATAATGTGTGGCAGTTTGGGCGTATGCCTGAGTAAACTAAGAGAAGACCAAGGGGAGACAAGTGCAAATTAGCATGAAGTGCTTTGAAAACTGTGGCTCTGTCTCTCCCAGGGAGCCGTGGGAGTGAGGAAGGAGGCGCACAGCCACATGGCTGTAGCCGATGCCTTGGCCTACGCAACAGCTGGATGAGATCCTGTCACCAGTTAGACGGGCCAAATGGCCTCCTCTCGCTTCTCATCTTCCTCTTCTTTGCTGTAGACCGCCCCGGTTGTTTTTAGCACGCCTGATTTGTCTACTTGACGGTCGAGTTTTTCACGCCTGGGCTCGTACGGGGGGAGGAGGAGGAAGGACAGGCGGACTCCAGACTTGGAGGCCCTCCTCTGTAACGGGCGGCCGCGCTGCCCTGTCCTGACGGAGAGGCGCTTCCGTCGCCTGCTGCACCTCAAGCCTGCAAGCCCCCGGGACGCCACAGGGGGCGCCACCTGGGCAGACAGGGCCAATCGGGTGGTGCTGCTTGGGGAACAACCCAGGTCCCGTGACCCAGGCTCGAACCCGTCTCGTCTGCACTCGAATGAACACAATGAGCAGTGGCGGAACTTGGGACAGGCCCCGGTCTTTCAGATAATTCATGCTTCAGTATTTTTGATCTGGTCGATGAGGAAAGCCTCCTGTCCAGGGGTCTCCAGCCTCAGTCCTGCAGGTTCTGTGGAGCACCATGAAATCCCCAATTACACAGGCAGTTTGTTAAACGACGCAAGTTAGATCGTTTAGGATTAAAATCGAAGTACTTTTAAACCCTCAAGGACCAGAGTTCTCATAATCAAACAGGTTACTTGCTTGATTCATCAAGAGCCGTCTTTAAAAAACAGGTGACCTGTCAGACAGACTGGATTGGGGCGCCTTGGGGCAACCTTGTTCTGCATTGTATTTTAAGTTCCAGATTGCAAACCACTCTTGTAGTGGCAAGGGGGAGTGGCTGCTTTACAACCTCAAATTAATGACCATGACCAGTCCATTAATTCTGCTTTTGAAGGGGGGCGCTTGCTTGCTTTCCTAACTGCCATGACAGTTCCTCCACTCTGCCCTCCTGGTCAGGAGCCGGAAGTCCAGCCCGCAGCCGTCTCTCGAACCCGAGGAAGAACAGCGGGATGCGGGGAGCACCTCCTTCAGCCAAGCCCACATGAAGAGAGCCTTCCAGCTGATGAACGAGCTGCGAAGGTAGGTCTCCCCAGCAGGTGAACGAGCTGCGGAGGCAGGTCTCCCCAGCAGGTGAACGAGCTGCGGAGGCAGGTCTCCCCAGCAG